TTAGCAATGGAGTCTATGTGAGTGTCCCACTTTAGGTCCTGAGAAATAGTGTTGCCCAGGAATCTGAATGACTCCACTGCAGCCACAGTGCTGTTCATGATGGTGATTGGAGGGAGTGCTGGGGGGTTTCTCCTGAAGTCCACGATCATCTCTAAGCTCCAGGTTGTTAAGACTGCACCAGACAGCCAGCTCTTGATGAGGCCGATGACTGTAGTGTCGTCCGCGAACTTCAGGAGTTTGACAGAGGGGTCCTTTGAAGTGCAGTAGAGATGCACCGATTGCAATTTTCTTGGCCGATTCCGATTTCCGATTTTTTGTTAGTGTGATCTGCCGATACAGATTTTTGCCGATTCCGATTTTCTTTCTAAGAACTATGATTGACAGCATATACAAACAAAAGTCTACTTTTCTTCAACGCAAAGTTTTATTTTCATAAAAAAACACAAGTACAAACTATTTAACATTCCAAAACTGACTGTGTTTAACTGGATGCTCGCCAAGACGGGCATTTTGACGTTTTGTATGTATTTGAACGTTTTAGTGCAGTTAGCCACTCATTTTGGTATTTGTGGCTCACAAGCTGTTTGAGACTGAGCGCGGATTGTGCGCTCCACTAATATAGATCAGTGGTGGTGCACGCGCGTTTGGTATAAGCACGAAACCTGCGGGAATGACTATAATGCGCAATACAAGCACTATTTAACTGGAGCGAATGAGACGTGTGTGTGAGAAAAGGGGTCGTCGGAGAGATGAGAGTGAGAATGGGCGGCTGATGTTATTGCCTGTGCCGCTGGTAACAAAACAGATCGTCTCGAAATTGGAAAGAAGTGAGACTGACCGACCGATCACCGATCCTGGCTGATCATGAGGAAAATCGTCCGATTCCGATCCCTGGCTGATCGATCGGTGCATCTCTAAAGTGCAGTCATTCGTGTAGAGAGAGAAGAGCAGTGGGGAGAGAACACAACCCTGAGGGGCGCCAGTGCTGATGGTCATAGACTTGGATGTGAGTTTGCCCAGCCTCACAAGCTGCTGCCTGTCTGTCAGGATCTGGTGATCCACTGACAGATGGAGGTGGGCACAGAGAGCTCTGTGAGTTTGTCTGAGAGAAGGTCAGGCATGATGGTATTGAAGTCCACAAATAGGATCCTTGCGTAATTCCCAGGTCTGTCGAGGTGTTGCAGGATGTAATGCAGTCCCATGTTGACTGCATCGTCCACAGACCTGTTTGCTCTGTAGGCAAACTGAAGAGGATCCAGCAAGGGTCCAGTGATGTCCTTCAGGTAGGCCAGGACCAGTCTCTCAAGTGACTTCATGACCACAGACGTGAGAGCGACAGGCCTGTAGTTGTTAAGTCCAGTGATTTTGGCCTTTTTGGGGACCGGACTGATTGTGGAGCGTTTGAAGCAGCAGGGAACTTCACACAGCTCCAGAGATCACAGACTGTGGGGGTGGTGTCTTGTACATGGTGATGTTCCTCAGACCAGTCCATACTGATGCTGGATCATTGGCTGAAAGCTCTTTTCTCAGCTTTTCAGAGTAGTATTTTTAGCCACTCTGATCTCCTTTGTTATTCTGTTCCTGGCCTGGTTATACAAGATTTTATCCCCACTTCTGCAAGCATCCTCTTTGGCGTGACGAAGCTGTTTGAGTTTCCCAGTAAACCACGGCTTATCATTATTAAATGATAAGAATGTCCTGGTATGAATGCGCATATCTTCACAGAAACTGATATATGAAGTTACAGTCTATGTGAGCTCGTCCAGATCGGTGGCTGCAGCCTAAAAAACACTCCAATCAGTGAGGTCGAAACAGGCTTGTAAATCACG